TACTTTGTAATAAACAAATTATATATTATTAAGGGTAAAATAGATTTTTTCACAAAAACCCAAATGGATCTAATATACCCGACTAGTTTCGAAAATACCCTAATTTTACACCCAAACCCTAATAATTCTTCTAACCCTTATCTTTCCATCTTCTCTCTCTCTCTACACACCCATTCTCTCAATTTTCGACGTCGGTCCGCTCCCATTGTAGTGGCGCAACAACCATCGCGTGCATCGCTGCACGTAGATCCACCACCTCTGCCCTTTTACTACCTCCAACTCGTCGCCATTCACCGTCCGATCCTCTCCATTGTCGTCGGCGACCCAACAGATTCGACATCGGTGCGGCGACTCAACGGATCCGAATACCAACACCACGTGAAGAGCGTGCGACGAAGGCAGTGGATTTCGTGACGGACGTCGTGAGGAAAGTTATGGAGGTGGAGGCGGTAATGGAGGCTATTGTGACCATAAGGGACATTTAGGAGGTCGTCTTCATTGAATTCTGTGTTGCAATTTTACTTTGTCATCTCGTGGTTTTGTAGTTGTAAATTGTGGTTGTTGGTAGTAGTGTTATGGTGGTGGTGGGCGACGCTGCGCACGTTGTAAGCGCCTTTGTTGCAACGATCACTGCGCTATCTGGGGAAAATCACCGGACCTTTTGGGGGTTAGTTGGTGGTGGTGCTGGCGGTCGTGGTGTTGGTGAGGTTGCGGCCGTGGTCTTGATCTTGGTCCTAGAGTAACTGATAATGGATCTGATTTTTTGTGGTGTTTTGGTGGTGGTGGTGGCGATGGCGGTAGTGTTGTGGTTGTGGCGATGGCGGTAGTGTTGTGGTTGTGGGTGGGATGTCAATTATTTGGTTGTTTGTGACAAATAAATTAGTTAATTTGTGGTCATGGCAGTAGTATGGTGGTCGGGGCAGTGCAATAACATCGTGAGATGGTGGCGATTTTCGTGAGGTTGTGGCAATGCTGATTATTTTTAGGGTGTTTTTGTTGTTGTGTTTGCTGTTGGTGGTGGTGGTGGTTGCTGGTTGTGGTCGTGGTGTTCGTCGTAAGTGGGGGTGGTTCTGGCGACGACGGTGACGGTGGCAGTGGTTCTGTTGGAGGGAGTGGTGAGGTGGTGATCACAAGTTGGTGGTTGGAGGTGGTCACAGATTATTTGGTCGTTTGCGACCATTAAATTGGTTAATCTGTGACCAATAAATAATATGTGACCAATGAAAAAGATAAATTGTGACAAAAATAATGTGTGGCCTAAAAAATTGTTAATTTATGAATGATAATTTAACAATTTGTGACTGTCTACTAAGTTGCGACTTATAATATTTATGATATATAAATAAATTGTGACGTTTCATTTTTTATTTGTGACCGATTAACAAATTGTGACCCATAAAACTTTTGAATTGTGATCGAAAAATAATTTGTGACATATAAAATTTTTTATTTGTGACCAATGAATAATATGCGATTTATAAAATTTTTGATTTGTGATCGATGAACAAATTGTGATATATAAATTTTTTGAATTGTGACCATAAAATAATTTGTGACGTTTCAATTTTTGATTGACCGATGAATAAATTGTGACCTATAAAATTTTGGAATTGTGACCATAAAATAATTTGTCACATAAAATTTGTGATTTGTGACCAATTATATGAAATTTGTGATCAAATTATATGGAATTGTGACAGAATATATTTAATTAATAAAATATATGTTTAATTAATTAATTTATAAATCATTACTATATAAAAGAGTCACTTTGGTTTTCACTGTTCATAAGCCGTATGGCTATGTTAAGCCAAGTCGAAGTGGTTGAGCCGCGTTCGCTGAGCTATTTCTATATTCTAAACTATTTTTTCCCTCCTTTTTGGTCCAAGAAATGATGTTAATTTACTGTCATTTGACTTTTTTATACTTTATGTTTGCGTGTGAAAAGGCGAAAGTAAAATAATGGTGTGTTTACATTGGTTGAATAAAAAAATATAAAGATAAGGCAACAATGCCAAATTCTCTTCGTTCTGTATTCCACTTCCCCACACAACCAAGAATTTACCTTTCTTCTTTTCTATTTCCATTTGTTGCAGTAGGAGTTACGGAGAAGGACATGGCTGAAGATGAGATATATTTTTTCTTCTATTTCCCATTAAGTTCTCTCATTTTCAAGCAAGAATTCAAAAAAAAAACTGAATTTTCATTTATTCTTGGCGTTCTTGGTATGGTTTTCAAGTTTCTTGTATGTAGATTTATTGTTTTGTGATGTTTCAAACAATATTTGTTGGAGTCAATATTGTTTATAAACTGACTACAAAAGATGGAATGAAGTTGTCCATTTTGGTGGGCTATAGATTTATGTTTGGCACTAGTTTTATGGTTCCGGTTGCCCTCTTGGTTGAAAGGTTGTAATGAATGTTTATTTTGATTTTCAGATTTACAAGAAAGAATATTTAATTTAAGCCCACGAAGAATTTGAAAATCTTAAAGCTAAATTGCACACACATGAAGTTATTCTGAATCTGAATCTTCAAATTTCTTGATATTTCAGGAAGAAGAAGCCTGAGTTAACATGGATGGTTGTATTCCAAGCGCTTCTTTGTATTCTATTTGGGTAAGTTTTAAATTTTATTAATCTCTTAAATGATTTATTAGATTGGGACATGTTTTTTTTTTTTTTTTTTTTTTTGGGATAAAAGATGAACAGTCCATGTTTTGATTTATGGAGAAGTGTACCAAATAAGACTATCTTAAATGCAGTTGAAATTTATTGACCTCGATATCATTTTAAGTTCTTGAGGTAATATAATGGATAATATGATCCTTGTAGGAATATCACTATTACAAAATTAATTTTTGGACAATCATTATGGACTTTATTTAATAGTTTATAGAGTAATAATCAATACAATTTTCTTTTTGTAGAGGATCACTTGGCCAAAATCTTTACTTAAAAAGTATGGCAATGATTTCTACAACTTTTGCTTCAGCCTTGATCAATCTTATTCCAGTATTGAACATATTTTCTTAACATCAAAGATGGATCAACATCTGTGATATCTTCCTTCGGAAGACCTAACCAGGCTTATTGGTAAGTGATGGAGGAGCACTGACATCCTTGCTGAACCGGGGGAGGGAGGATGGAACTTTGTAGAAGTAAGAGTTTTCTCTTCCTTCTTTTTTT